GAAGAGAGTGTGATGCTAAAACCACTTCCGGGTTACCTTTTCAAACGAAAGGCCGTCAAGCTTAATACAATGTCTGCCAATACGTAGCCTAATATGTTAAAGCATTTGCATTTAATTTCATGTAAGCTTTACACAGGTAAAATCCCGTTGAGCTTAGAAACCCATTCTCTGTCAGCAACACAAGTTTCAACAGGACAGTAGCCTAGTAGCAAATAAAATAAAAAAAACAGGTGACACTTAGAGGTCAAATAGGCTAAGACCAGAGAATGTTTCGAATGATATCAATATTAAGAAAGCTAAATGAGCTAAAAACTAGATATTCGGTAGGTGAATGATTTATTCTATCATAAATGGGAATACAAAGATTTTCAATTCCCCTCAGCAAACTCTTTCAAGCTGAGCAGAAAACCAATTCTTTCTTTCTTTCCTATCTGTGTCCGAATAGGAAAAGACAGCAGAACAGCGCCCTGTGATCATATGATTATGAAGATGAACTCTGTGAAATAGATTTGCAAAATGATCAGCAATGTTTGTCTGGAATTACTTTATTATACCAGTGATTCAAATAGGGAATTTGTACTTTGTTGTAAAGTATTCATCACCAACAGGCTTGTTTACTTTACTTTTTAAACTGTTTTACTTTACTTCACTTGCTTTAAATAACGGTCCCGAGGTGCTTAGGTGGCCTTTTGTTTTGAAATTATCCTTAGACGTAAAACCAGAAATGTTGCGGTGCTGTATGGTGGGAAATCTACGCGTCGCCATCTAGTGGTTACACCTAACAATGACTGGTGCAAATATTTCACGTCACATGTTCCCCCCCGATCGTAAAACGATCAAACACTAAACAGTCGTGTTTTATGTTGCTTAATCTCACGATAACTTAGTCCTAGCAATCATATCCTCTACACAAGATCTAATGTTTAACTACAGATTTACTGTAATCTTTGATTATTTTATAATTGAAATATTGTATTTAATCATTCATTTTTTTCTTGTCCCGAGATGGAAGGCATTTTGTGGTGCTAAGTGGTATTTATCCACCACAGAAGAAGTATTTGGATCCTTCTAATAACAATGAAACAATGTAAAAAAAGGTTAAGTATTCACAATAGAATTACATTATTATTATCAAGTAAAAATAGTCATTAAGCCTGCTTATGATTGTTGTAGCTTGTTGAGGTGTGAGTAATTTTACTTACTGTTGTGTATTAACCTATAAAAATAATGCTATATGAACTGAGCATATATGTCAAAAAAGAGATGAAAAATGACCATGGGGACAAGCACAAAAGGGGTTTTCCATTACAGGAATCTACCCAACCTACTCAAACGTGTGGAGCCGGGTAACACTTGGGTTTTGTGTTTGTTTCCACTACTGCTGCCTTGGAGGCGCGCTCGTGGGGCTAAATTTCAACACCAGGAAGTACTAAAATTAAGTTTCAGGAATGTGAGGAGAGAGGGGGTTCATGCATGCAGAGCAGTCACCCCTCACTGGTTAAATGTCCACTCCTCACACCTCAGTCATTATACAAGCACAGTATGTAAAGGGGAACTTATATTGGTTTAGAGGTAAAACAAGGACTTCACTTGTTGGCTGGGACTACAGTGAGTGGACTGTGGGCAAAGATGTTACAGAGATGAAGATTTCACATTTCTGCAAGAATGTTATTCATCAGCTGTTTGATAAACTGCTCATACAGTCTCTGTTACTGGCTGCTTGCTGCACTGTGGAGTGATGTCTATTCTTCCCTGCTCAGCAGACTGCATCCCGCCTCTGAACAGAGGCCCCCAGACAGAGTGGAACAACAAAGCAGGACGGCTTGTGTCAACCTAGCATCAGGACAGATTAAATGGGGGGGTCTGTGATTTCAGAATACCAACAAATCTTACAGTATTATATTACAGGTACACTTGGCACAACTGCAACATGCACAATGGCGTCTCACATAACACAATATTACACACAGGCAACTGCCACCTGTTACTTCCGGTGCCAACAGCGATGGCAGCTGTGGTTACTCGCGCTCTCTTGTGATTGTTGTTTTAGTTTGTTTTCTTGGTCTTTTGCAGCTCGTCCCTGTTTCCTTTTACCAGAGAAGAACTGTTAAATATCCGACAACTCACACCATACTATCTTCCTCCGATTTTTGTGAACGAAGAATGCTGTATGGACAACATTCTGGTCAGAGGCACAGCGGCAATATACGTGACACATTCTGATCAGAGGCACAGCGGCAATATACGTGACCTCGAAAAACCACTGCTGTGGAAAGCAGGTGGGCGCTTTGGTGAGGCTTCGACAGAGGGGAACATGGACCCCACTCCTGTCTATTCACCTGGCAAATCTCCACTCCCTGGTCAACAAGATGGATGAAATTCTTCTCATTAACAGGACTTTGCACGCTCTGCTGCTTTGTGCTTCACAGAGATCTGGCTGAGTGCGACACAAGTACCGGGGTTCCAGGTGTTCAGAGCAGATCGTGTAAAGGAGCTGTTTGGGAAAACGAGAGGAGGTGGAATCTGCTTCTACATAAATGAAGGTTGGTGCATGGATGTCACAGTGCTACAAAGGACATGTAACGCAGAGCTAGAGACTCTTGTTATCAATTGCAAACCTTTTTATTCCCATCATGAATTTAACAGTTTCATCCTAATGGGAGTGTACATAAGTCCACAGGCCCATGCTAGCGCACTACAGCTACTGGCAGAACTGATAACTAGTGTTGTACCCGGTACTTTTTACC